CACGCTGCTCTTTCTACCTGGGGTGTTTGTGTGTGTGTGTGTGTGTGTAATGAAATTGACTTCTGATTATCCTAGGGGTGTGTGTGTGTGTGTGTGTGTGTGTGTGTAATGAAACTGACTTCTGATTATCCTAGTTTAAGATTACAAAGACAAATGTGGTACATGCCTATAGTCAGACTGGACTTCACAAGGCCCTCTTTATAGCAAACAGAGAAGACTGCAGATTAAACACCATCACTTCTCCTTAACCCCCCAAGTCTGGGACATCAACGTACTGTGGGTTACAGCGCTTTCCACCATGGCCACCTCTTGGGAACTTTGGAAGTTGGCCTCCTCGGTACCCTCCTGATCATTCTCGCTGTCGTCCTGCTCCTCCTCTGAGGATGAGGACTTTCCATCAGAGGAGCTGGCAAAGATGGCCTTGAATAAATCCATGGATGGCCGGCTACCCTCTCCCTCAGGCTGTGAAGCTGCACCTTTGTCCACAGTCTGTATTAACAGAGAAACGAGAGTCAGGAATGAAGGAGAGTGAAGGGACTCAGTGCTCCCGAGCACATTCACACACGTGCGCACAGTCAAGATTGGGTTTGAAGTACCCACCGCCACACTACTGATCTAAGCAATGACACACTGCGTTTATTTCCGTGGGTTTTTTCTAGAATATGCCGGTGAAGCAGAAGCAACTGAGGCTCTCCTTGGAGACTCATCATTAACAGAACTGCAGAGGACCCAAAGAAATGAAGCTGAGCATAGTGTCTCAGTGTACTGTCAAGACTCTATTCAGGCCTGCCCAATATTAACTTCACAAAGAAGCCAAGCACGGTGGCACAAACTCGTATTCTCAGCACTCAGGAGGCAAAGGCAGAAGAACAGCAAGTTTGGGGCCAACCTGGGCTACAGAGCAAACCTATCTCAGAAAAGCAAATAGACCAAAGTAATGACAACAGTCCATCTGTAAGAAATGCTAAACAAAAAGCTGTGGACCCTTCACACAGCAGGGAGTCAGGAGCACAGGTCACAAACTTCCTAACATAGCACCAGCTAGTGGTGCTATTCTGAAAAGCGGTGGAAACTTTAAGTGATAGGGGCTAGCCGGAGGAAGTCAATCCTGGAGGAGCAGTGTCTTATTCTCTTTCTCTCTCTCTCTCATCTCCCTCTCTCCTCCCCTCCCTTCCCGTCCTCCCTCCCTCCTCTCTCTCTCTCTCTCTCTCTCTCTCTTCCCTCTCCCTCCTCCCCCCCCTCCCCCCC